CCAGTGGATTCTGTTCATTGGATTTTAATAACAAAAGTTACTCAAATCTGAAGTCTAGAAGTCAATGTTCCCTTGAAGCAATGCCAATGAGTAAAGGGCTTTCAAACACAAGCAGTAAATTGATAAGCACTGCAAACCAAAGTCCATCAACCTCATCTTTACAGTCAATGCTTATGCTATTTCACTACCAAATACATAAAGCTAATTCAGGACCTTTTTATATCAATCTTTCTGAAAATGATCCCAAACTTGCTGCTTCTAACTCTTAATTATATACACAAAAATAAGGGAACAAAAAGGTTAAGTATCTTAAAAGGTGGTTTTAAAAAAAAAAAAAAAACTTAGATTGAGTTTTATTTTATTTTCGAGCACTCAGATATGCAACTTTCAGTCCAGGATCTAGATGACCCATCAGCTCAACCTTCTTCTCAGAAGCCTGAACATTTGCCAGGATACAACACACAGGAAGAAGCTATGGAGAAGGTACAAAATACCCCTATTAGCTCAGGGGCAGTATGTAGTTGACAAAGACCTAGTTTTACATATTTCCACAACTATGAGATTGACTATGCATAATGACTTATCTAACACTGGTGTGGGGGATAAGAGCATGTCATGGCCCTTTTATTAGCCTCCCAACTTCGGAAAAGCACTTGACCCTCTCTGGGCCCCACGTTTTGTTAAGTGTAAAACGACAACAGTACTTAAGCTGCCTCACCCGTTCCGATGCAAATCGCACAGAAGCTGGTTTAACAAGGCAAGATGCCACATTCTTCCACATTCTTTAGGAAGCCTACTGGTAAGAGCATAAAGATACCAGACCCACACAAATGTTTCCAATATGCCCACTCCCATCTGCCCACATCCCTCACCATCCATTTCCTACATGTTCTACTTGCTGCCACACCCTTCCCAGACAATTGCTCTAAGCACTAGAAGCTGCTCTTAGCCTCTCTTTGAGCCCTCACCGTTATCACACATGTGCATAACTTGCCCCTACCTGTGGGCAACATCTAATGACCTGCCCACAACAGCTAAACTTACTTTTAGCTCATAAGAAATTTATTATCACTAAAGAATAAATCAGCCAAGAATACACTTGAAACTGAAACAAACAAAAATCTAGCAACCATTTAATACAAGGTACAATTTGAAATTGGTAGTCTAGATATGGCTTGTGCTAAAAGAAACAAATGATCCTTCTGGAGAGCAGTATTGGAAATGCTTCAAAAGCCAAAAAAACTGTAAAGACCTTCTCAACCCTTTGGTGGTAAACATGAACACACATGCAAACACAGGCAAGTATATACACACACAGTCACATAAAACAGAAAGACCAAAAGGAAATCATAAAAAGGTTATTCCTGGGCAGGGTGCGGTGGCTCACGCCTGTAATGCCAGCACTTTGGAAGGCTAAGGTGGGCGGATCACAAGGTCAGGAGATCGAGACCGGCCTAGCCAACATGGTGAAACCACGTCTCTACCAAAAATACAAAAATTAGCTGGGCATCATGGCACGTGCCTGTAATCCCAGCTACTCGGGAGGCTGAGGCAGGAGAATAGCTTAAACCAGGGAGTCGGAGGTTGCAGTGAGCTAAGATCGCGCCATTGCACTCCAGCCTGGACTATAAAGTGAGACTCCGTCTTAAAAAAAAAAAAAAAAGTTATTCCTGTTTGACAAACTTTCGAGCAATTTTTATTCTCTTCTTCATGCTTTTCTGTATTTTTCAATTTTCCTACATGTACTACATGTACTACTTTAATAAACAGTACATTCTCAACATAGAGATTACTTATACTAGTAAAAATTCATATGCAGAATGAGGAAAGGCTATTTTTTTTAACTTTTACTTTTACTATTTCAAACATATACGTACTTAAAACACCAGTCTGTCATCTAGCTTCAATTATAAATATTTTGCTGGGCTGGGTGCAGTGGCTCACACCTGTAATCCCAATACTTTGGGAGGCTGAGGAGGGAGATCACTTGCTCTCCAGGGGTTTGAGACCAGCGTCGGCAACATAGGAAGACCCTGTCTTTACAAAAAGCATTTTAAAAATTAGCTAGGTGCCGGGCGCGGTGGCTCACGCCTGTAATCCCAGCACTTTGGGAGGCCGAGGCGGGCGGATCACAAGGTCAGGAGATCGAGACCACGGTGAAACCCCATTTCTACTAAAAATACAAAAAATTAGCCGGGCGCAGTGGTGGGCGCCTATAGTCCCAGCTACTCAGGAGGCTGAGGCAGGAGAATGGCGTAAACCCGGGAGGCAGAGCTTGCAGTGAGCCGAGATCGCGCCACTGCACTCCAGCCTGGGAGACAGAGCAGGACTCCGTCTCAAAAAAAAAAAAAAATTAGCTAGGCATGGTGGCGCCTGCAGGTAGCCCCAGCTACATAGGAGCGGAGGCAGGAAGACTGCTAGAGCCCAGGAGGTCAAGGCTGCAGTGAGCCATGATCATGCCATTGCATGCTAACCTGGGTGACAGAGCAAGACTGTCTCAAAAAAAAAAGTGTGTGTGTGTGTGTGTGTGTGTGTGTGTGTGTGTGTAGCCAATCTTCTTTCATCTGCATCCATTCAGCTTTATTTTCTTAAGTAACTGAAAAACAAATCCCAGTCCTCATGTTATTTCAACCATATATCCTTCAATATGCATCTTTAATTGCTAAGTTAAGAAAATTACACAGCCATCATTCCACCCAATATGACAATTCTACAATATCATATAATACCTTCAAAAATAAGAATGGTCTTTGAAATAACTGTTCAGCAATTAAAAATTCATATATAAAATTTGAAATTGTGCTACTACCTCATACGCAGGATAGATAAAGAAGTATAAACCAATAAGAATTGCTAAAACCAAAGAAAAGGGAACTTAAGCCAAAAAAAAAAAGAAAAGCATGACAAAAAAGAAAAGCGTATAAGAGACTTGAAAAGGCACTTCACTAAAGGGGAAATCCAAACAGTTAGTGAACGTAAGGGGAAAAAAATCATAATGCAACTTAAAAACCAAAAGATACGACTACACACACCAACAGAACGGCTAAAATTAAAGAAATGACAATATTGAGTGTTAGGGAGGATGTGGAGCAAAGGAAACTTGGAAACATTGCTATAGGAAGTGTAAGCTGGAAAAAACGTTTTCTTCTAAAGCTAACATGTATATATAAGGTATACAAGAAAGTAGAAGGTATAAGGTATGAAGTATAAGAAGCCAGACATAAAAGAATGTACGCTGAATGATCCTAGTTATATAAAATTCAGAAACAGGCCACACTGAGCTGTACTGTTAAAGTCAGAATATCTAGTTACTGTTGAAGGAAAAGGGGAGCCTATACTAGGTAATAGGGCAGGTAAGGGAATTCTACGGTGCTGGTAATGTTTTCCTCGGTGTCAGAAATGGTACACAGGTGTTCACTTTACAATAATTCATAAAGCTCTAGGTTTACGCTCTATGCACTTTCTAGCTTATTTTATATTACAAAATAAAAAAGGTTTCAAAATAATATAATAATGGAATTAAGGCAAGGATTATTAATGAATGCCATGGATGCTAAATCCACTGAATGAAAGGCTGTTGGGGACAGATAGACACCTAATATTTGAGTATCACCCCATAGATCACTTATTAGTGACAAAGGGGAATCCTTGACTACATCATTACAGGATGGGGGCGGGAGGAGTTATAACATTACTGGGAAAATTTCAATATGGTCTATACACTAGATAATATTATATAAATGTTAAACTCCCTTGTAATTAAAAGATACATGCTTATATAATTCAGGGTAAACTATCGTGATGTCTGCATCATACATCAAATGTTACAGGAGAGAGAGAGAGAGACAGAAACAGAGACAAAGAGAAACAAAGAAACATTAAGCAAATGTGGCAAACTATTAGCTATAGATCAAGTATCCCTTATCCATAATGCTTGGGCCCGGAGGTATTTCAGATGACGGATTTTTTCCCATTTTGGAGTATTTGCATTATACAGGTTGCGCATCCCTAATCTGAAAAATCCAAAATGCTCCAAAATCCCAAACTTTCTGAGTTTCAATATGATGCTCAAAGGTCATGCTCAAAGGAAATGCTCACTGGAGCATTTTGGATTTTGGATTTCTGGATTAGGGATGCTTAACTTGTACTGGTGAACCTAAGTGAAGGGTATCCAGGTATGTATTGCACTAGTTCCACCTTTTGGTAGATAAGAAATTTTTCGAAAGAAAATAACATGCCAGGCCTGGTGGCTCACACCTCTAATCCCAGGACTTTAGGAGGCCGAGGCAGTTAGATCTCTTGAGCTCCGGAGTTCAAGACCAGCCTGGGCAACATACTGAGATCCTGTCTCAATAAAAATTTCAAAAAAATAATAAAATAAATAAAAAAAGAAAATAGAGAGCGCATACAAGGTTTCAAAAGACAAAGAACTTTTAGAATTAGGGTTTTAAAATATCAGGAAAAGGCAAAAAGAATTAGAATATAACCAGTGAATTATGCCCCATTAAAATGGCTAAAAATACTGTAATAACATGTACTTTTTTAAAAAAAGAAAAAAATTATTACAATTTGTCTGTGAAAAAAAAGGACAATATAAGCCTGTTCATATATAACTTTTTTTTAATGATTGAGGTAAAGTAATGGAAAAATATATCAAAAATACTGCTTCTGCTTTAAGGTGTCAGTATGATGGATCATATTTCCTGTTTTCCAAACATTTTTATAATGTATTTTTGCTTTAAAAAGTTTTAATGTAATGAAAAGATCAGCCAGATAATCACACACCATATTACTACTTAACAATTTCAGGTATTTGTACAATTACCTAGCTTCAGTTTGAAAAATACCAGCAGCAGAAATCCTACTGATGAATATTTCCTGTCATCCTTTGAGGAATCACCCAAAAGCACAACAAAAGAACACTTCTAAACTGCTTAAATGGTAACAAAACTGTCACATCCAATGATCCTTTACAAAACTCACTGTAAATATGAATGTACCTCATCATATATGCTTCCGTTAATATCTGCACCATAGATGGGTGCCACAAAAGTTAAGTTCTTCCAGTACTTGCGCTCCAAATCTTCGTAATCCAAGTATCTTGGAGTACAATATCTGTAAACGGTAGATGACAAAAAAGTACAAACCAGTAAGTCAGTTTTAGGGGTTTTCCCACCAAAGTGATTTAAATCTCTTTCTAAAACAAAATCCTACCAAAACGAAAACACTGCATGTTGTCAAATCTAACAAGTAAACATACAAATTGATTTACAGGGCGGGCGCGGTGGCTCAAGCCTGTAATCCCAGCACTTTGGGAGGCCGAGACAGGCGGATCACGAGGTCAGGAGATCGAGACCATCCTGGCTAACACAGTGAAACCCCGTCTCTACTAAAAATACAAAAACTTAGCCGGGCGAGGTGGCAGGCGCCTGTAGTCCCAGCTACTTGGGAGGCTGAGGCAGGAGAATGGCGTGAACCTGGGAGGCGGGGCTTGCAGTGAGCTGAGATCCAGCCACTGCACTCCAGCCTGGGCGACAGAGCGAGACTCTGTCTCAAAAAAAAAAAAAAAAAATTGATTTACATAGCTATCTGAATATTCTTAAGGTTGCTAAATAACTCAATATCACTTTACATTGTATTAGAAAATTACTTTCATGAAAACATCAACAACAGAAGAAGAAAAGTCATTTAAAAGTCATTATTTTAGCTTTCAAAGTATTTTTAAAATCTTTAATCACTATACCATGCTAAGAAATTTTACATATTTATATGAAAATGACATAACACTTAAAGAAAAACTGACAAACAATAATCTTGCTAAAAATCCAAGAAAGTAAAGTTAAAACAAGATATTTGGCAGTTCAGCAAAATGGTTGGCAAATGCTGAATATATTAATGACAAGAAAATAACGACACCTCTTAGACAACTAGAGTAGGAATATAAGGTGGTAAAACCATTCCAGGATATAATTTTTCTACACATATAAAAAGCTTTTGGCCGGGCGCGGTGGCTCAAGCCTGTAATCCCAGCACTTTGGGAGGACGAGACGGGCGGATCACTAGGTCAGGAGATCGAGACCATCCTGGCTAACACGGTGAAACCCCGTCTCTACTAAAAAATACAAAAAACTAGCCGGGCGAGGTGGCGGGCGCCTGTAGTCCCAGCTACTCAGGAGGCTGAGACAGGAGAATGGCGTCAACCCGGGAGGCGGAGCTTGCAGTGAGCTGAGATCCGGCCACTGCACTCCAGCCTGGGCGACAGAGCGAGACTCCGTCTCAAAAAAAAAAAAAAAAAAAAAAAAAAGCTTTCAAAAATTGATATATTTGACTCAAAATCTAAATGTAGAAATTAACCCTAACAACACAGAGATATGTACAATGACAGTCGACCCAGATGTTTGCTGCAGCATTAATTGAAAATACAAGTTTATATCCATCAACCAGTAATTAGCTTAAAAAATACAGAATATAAAACAAGATAGATCATTCAAGATGCTGACATCAAATCTACCTACAGAGAATAAATCAGGTTACATAAGTGTGTATACTATATCTAATTTACGTAAAAAAAGAAAAAAATCTGTAAATGCATATTAAGTCATCAGAAAGAAATATACACCAAATTAATAGTATTAATGGTTATCTCTCACATAGAAATTACAGAAAAGCACTTACTTCTCTGTATTATTAGGAATTTGAACAATAATCTTACCACAAAAAAGGAATATCAAATGTTTCTTCAGGAAGAAAATAAGCAAAGAAAGAAACAAATGAGAAAATAATGAAATGAAGTTAAGAAGGTATTTAGCAGTAACAGAATCCCTATAAAGCATACTGGACATTTTAGATTGACTAATTATAGAATAACCGACATCTACACTCACTATACTGGGGACCCCAAACTAGTTATCTGTGTAACAAGAACATCAAATAATGTAACAACTATATTCAAAATATCAAACAACTTAATTTAACAACTGTATTCAAAATATAGAACAATTTGAATTTATCCAGAACACTAGAATCTCAAGCACAGCCAAAAATAAAAAGGATGGGCATGGGATGGGCGTGGTGGCTCACACCTATAATCCCAGCACTTTGGGAGCCCAAGGCAGGAGGATCATTTGAGCTCAGGAGTTCAAGATCAGCCTAGGTAGTGAGACCCTGTCTCTATTTTCTAAAGAATTAAAATTTATTTTTAATTTTGTTAGTGCTTTTGTTTTGTTTTGTTTTGAGATGGAGTCTCACTCTTGTTGCCTAATGCAATGGTATGATCTCGGCTCACCACAACCTCTGCCTACCAGGTTCAAGCGATTCTCCTGCCTCAGCCTCCCCAGTAGCTGGGATTATAGGCATGCACCACCGCACCCAGCTAATTTTGTATTTTTAGCAGGGACAGAGTTTCTCCATATTGGTCAGGCTGGTCTCAAACTCCCAACTTCAGGTGATCTGCCTGCCTCGGCCTCCCAAGTCCTGGGATTTACAGGCGTGAGCCAGCACGCCCAGCCTTAAAAATGTTTTTAATAAAAAGAATTAGCATGAAAGCACCATTAACCTGTCATCATTCCACCACTTCTACTAGTAGGTTCCAGTAGTATCGGGAATTCTAGGCACAAGCTAAGCAAGCTAACTAAAGGTCAGAGTCAGGTGACAGAGACAGGTGTACACCCCTATTCCCCAGACAAGGGGTTCCCAATCCCCAGTACGGGTCTGTGGCCTGTTAGGAACCAGGATTCACAATAGGAGGTCAGTGGCAGGTGAGCATTACTGCTTGAGCTCCACCTCCTGTCAGATCAGTGGCAGCATTAGATTCTCATGGGAGTGTGAACCCTGTTGTGAACTGTGCATGTGAGGGATCTAGGTTGCGCGCTCCTTATGAGAACCTAATGCCTGATGATCTGAGGTGGGACAGTTTCATCCCAAAACCATACCGCCACCCCCATCCAGAGAAGAATTGTCTTCCACGAAACCAGTCCCTTCCCAAAAAGGTTGGGGACCGCTGCCCCAAAACACAGAATGATCAGAAAGGAGAAGATAACAGAGATGCTATGTATGAGGACTTCTACAGAAACTTCCAAGATTTTTGGAAACTGAAGCCCTAATCTGCTTTATACCATATACCAAGACCTATATAATATATCACTATGTACTCAATCAGTAACAACTTTTTTTTTTTTTTTTTTTTTTTTTGAGACAGAGTCTTGCTCTGTCACCCAGGCTGGAGTGCAATGGCGTGATCTCGGTTCACTGCAACCTCCACCTCCTGGGTTCAAGCGATTCTCCTGCCTCAGCCTCCCAAGGAGCTGGGATTACAGGCACGTGCAGTATCAGTTTTTAAAAACTCATAACTCTAAGAGAGAAATTTAAAGTTTGGTATTGTCCATTGAAGTTAAATTCTAAAATCCTTAAATATATTAAACAAATATTAATTCTCAACTAGAAAAAAATGACCAGTTCACATGGCTAGTATCTGATCAGAGCCCTTCCCTTCCCTAATGGACGTCCAACAATCACAGCTGTTCCACAAATCCAGTGTAAATTTGCCCGATACTGATTCAACCACATCTTCTTACCCAGAACCTCTCACTCACTGCGGCACAGTTCTTAAGAGGTGGGTTCCAGGGCCAGGCTACCCATGTTTAAATTCAGGCTTCCATTCATAAGCCACATAACCCTGGACAGGGGGCTGAATTTCTCTGGAACTCAGTTATTCCTCTGAAAAGTAGGGATAAATACAGCTAAGCTTGTTGTGAGGGCTCCATGAGATAATTATGGAAAGCACTTGGCTCTGTGCCTAGAGGAAAGTACACATCAGTAATGTAAGTGATTCATATTACCTACCATTATAAATTTTTATATTAGAGTTATATCGGAAATCTCTAGGTTTACTTTGGACTACATTGCATTATCAACCAAACGAGCGTGTCATCTTCTCTACTGCTAAGACTGAGCACATGAGGGACTGTGTGCCAATGCCAGGGCATGTGCTGAAGAAAAACAGATGAATGGAAAGATCCCAGCACTTTGGGAGGCCGAGGTGGGCGGATCAGAGGTCACGAGTTAGAGATCAGCCTGGCCAACATGTTGAAACCTCATCTCCATTAAAATACAAAAAATTTAGCCTGGCATGGTGGCGCAAGCCTGTGGTCCCAGCTGCTCGGGAGGCTGAGGCAGAAGAATCACTTGAAACCAGCAGGCGGAGGTTGCAGTGAGCGGAGATTACGCCACTGCACTCCATCCTGGGCAACAGAGTGAGACTCCATCTCAAAAAAAAAAAAAAAAAAAAAAAAGACCAGCAGAAAACCTCCTGTCTCCAGTAAAAATTAATCTCATAACATGACCATTCCACAACCAGGCGATCCTGGCACAGCTCTGTGTGGACAAGTAAAAGCCTTGGTTCATTTATTTCAAATGCTTAGAAATCCATTTCCTTGGCATTTGAAATAAATTTCTACATGAAACTGGCAGAAGAAATACAACAATATGAATTCCAAAAGTTGTTTAACATTACAATTGTAATGAAACTAATCTAAATCAAAAGACAAATTAACTTTTTTTTTTTTTTTTGAGACATGGTCTTGCTCTGTCACCCAGGCTCGGGGGCAATGGTGCAATCACGACTCACTGAAGCCTCAGCCTCTCAGGCTCAAGTAATCCTTCTGCCTCAGCCTCCCGAGTAGCTGGGACTACAGACACATGCCACCATGCAAGGCTAATTTTTTATTTTTTGTAGAGACGGGATCTCACTTTGTTGACCAGGCTGGTCTTGAACTCCTGGCTCAAGGAATTCTCCCACCTCAGCCTCCCAAAGTGTTGGGATTACAGGCGTGAACCACTGTACCCAGCGTAAATTAACTTGCAAAGAAATAAAATTAAAGCTAGAAATAATTTTTCAAATAATTTCCCATAATGGTTACATTTTACAACTAAAAAAAGCCAATAATTGTTTAAAACATCTCTAAACTCCAGAATGTCAAGAAATGTATATTCTCTTAATAAGTAAATCTTTACAATTTGCCTAAAAATTTATACCATTTTAAATGTATTTTAGTTTTTATAACACTATTTATTCATTCCATCAATATATATTGAAAAAGCACCTACCATATCCCAGACACTATACCAAGCACTGTGCACACAGTGATACACAAAACAATGTCACCTGAATGGCTATCTTCAGAAAGAGTAAATCTACAACCAAGCCAGTAGAGTAATAATTTAACAGAGATATGTATAAAATTAGTACTCAGTAAAATTATCTTGAGGTAGAAAACCGATACCATGCTGCAATAATCAAATGGGCTAGAGAGGATGATCAAAGTTTCTTTATAACGAGAGAAGAACGAACTACAAGCCTCAAGTCTTAACAATATTTTGAATTGCCAAGTAATACAAACAATGATTGCCTCTCAAAGTTATATATTGCTATATTTGAAATTTTATTTGATTTTTTTCAAGATAGGGTCTTGCTCTGTCACCTAGGCTGGAGTACAGTGGTGCAATCATGACTCACTGTAGCATCGACCTCCCAGGCTCAAGCAATCATCAGCCTCCTGAGTAGTTGGAACTACAGGCACATACCACCTGCCTGGCTAATTTTTTTATTTGTTGTAGAGATGGGGTTTGCCATGTTACCCAGGCTGGTCTCCAACTCCTGGGTTCAAGCATTCCACCTACCTCGGCTTCCCAAAGTGCTGGGATTACAAGTGTGAGCCACCACATCCAGCCTATTTTTGAAATTTTAAATAAGCACATATTACTTTTGTAACTGGTAGAAATGTTTCTGACCATTCTTCAAAATCCATCTCAATAGTGCCTACAAAAGGAAATTACCCATTACTTATAAACAACCACAGAAGGCTTGTATTCCTTTGAAACCTCATAGCACTTTGTACCTTTCCTATGGCAGTTATGATAATTATCAAGAGTATTAACCATAGTTTTTAGTGAGTATAATCTGATTACTTTTAAGTACAAATTATCCCTTGAAATATCAAAGGAGCCAAGCAGAGTTATTACTCAATGACCTAACCTATTCGATTAACACTTTAAGAGGGACACTGGAAATGGGTACTAAAACATAGTAACAGAAAACAGTCAATAGTTTATACTCGTCAACAGGTTTAATTGCCTCTGCAATCTTGTTTCAACAGCATTGTACTTATAAAAGAATTCTGGAAGAGTTCGAAAGAAAATGCTTCCAATCTTCGCTGAAAGTTTCATGTTCTCGATTAATAAGATCTGAAAGAATAAAACTCTATTAATACCTACCCCAAAAATTCAAAAGAAATGATTCAAATTATATTAAATATAAAATTTTCAATTTCTCTGGAATAGCCAGAATGTTCCATAGTAGGAATTTAATATGCAGAAATAAGAGTCTTCATGTAGCATCATGTGCTTACAATGTCAAATATAATTTTTTTAAAGGAAGATACCTAAATTCATCCAAAGTCTTAATCTCATTCACACCCATCCAGGGAATTCGGAAACTATGATTTCTGGTTGGTCTTTCAGGTTTTGTTTAATTTTGTTTTTGTTAGATTTGTGCTTTGTTCTGGGGCCTTAACTATCATATCAGAATTTTTTAAAAGAAGTTTAATAATAATTGTGACAATGTTTAAATATACCCACAAATTCATTGACACTCCTCCCTTCAAGAAGTAGAGCTTCATTCTCCTCCCCTTGAGTGGAGGCTACACTTACCAACTGGCTTGGAACAAAAAGAATATGCCAGATGTGACAGTGTGTCACTTCTGAAACAGGGAAAGGAAAAACATGTGGCTTCCTTCTTGCTCGCTCTCTCAGATCACTTGTTCTGGGAGAAGCCAGCTGCCACAACATGAGGAACAGTCCATATGACAAGGAACTGAGGACCCCATCAAAAGCCATGGAAGGGGAGCACTCTTGTAAGAGAATCTTCCAGCCACAATTAAATGCTCAGATGACTGCCAGCCCAGGCAACATCCTAACTGCAACCTCATGAGACCCTGAAGCAGAACTACGTAGCTAAGCCACTCTCAGATTCCTGACCTTCAGAAATTGTGGGTTGGTTTAAGTAGCTAAGATTTGGGATAATTTTTCTTTTTTTTTTTTTTTTGAGACAGAGTTTCGCTCTTGTTGCCCAGGCTGGAGTGCAATACCGCAATCTTGGCTCACCACAACCTCCGCCTCCCGGTTTCAAGCAATTCTGCTGCCTCAGCCTCCTGAGAAGCTGGGATTACAGGCATGCATCAGCCACCACGCACAGCTAATTTTGTATTTTTAGTGGAGACGAGGGTTCTCCATGTTGATCGGGCTGCTCTTGAACTCCCGACCTCAGGAGATCCGCCCGCCTCAGCCTCCCAAAGTGCTAGGATTACAGGCATGAGACACTGCGCCCAGCCAATTTGGGATAATTTGTTACACAACAATAAATAACTAATGCAATGGTGGCCTTTCAAGTCTTTCAAGGTTTGCTTTTAAAAGTACTAATTTTCTAATACATACAAATCATTTAAGGCTTAAACATTACCAAACATACACCAAAAAAACTGCCCGACAAACATGAATCATGTGTAGAATCAAAAACTCATGGCAACTATGGAATAAGAAGTTCCATTTATAGCTACTATGAATGAGATAATAAAAAGCAATTTCTTTAACACTAAGCCAAATGTTTAGGCAACCACCTAAAGAACAGAAAACAGAAACGGTTAAATGAAGGGTGAAAGACATTGCATGGGAGACTCCTGCTTTTCATTTATAAGCTCCTCTGTCTACTTTGTTTCTTAACATATTTACATAAATTTTTGAAGGAAACAGAAATAGCAAACTGATTCTACTCACTTGCCACTGTTGGCCAGCTGCCTGAACTCCTTCACAGTCATTGCTTTTTTCTGGATGTTGTATTGAGTGAACAGTCCTGACTGCCCTGTGACCATCTGCTGAATTGGTGCTGGGATGAGCAAATTATCAATGTCATCATAGCACTGTCTTGGTTTCCACTCCTTAGGAGGAATCACCTAAAAATAAAATAATGAAATAAAATATCATCTTGAAAATACTCCAAGTAATTTAGCTTTTAAGTATTCTGATAAAATACAACTGAAGAATTTCTCAGTCTTTCTATGACAAATGCATAAAAAAATGAATATTTGCAATAAAGCAATATGATTGTTATTCAACAGCAAAATTTATTGAGTACTCACTATCCTAAACACTGTACTTGTATTAAACTCATTTTGAGGAGGTACTATTAACATCTTGATTTTAAAGATATAATTGAAAGACACAAAGAAGTAAAATAATTTGAAGTTAAAATGGCTAAAGACTACTTGAGCTGAGATTCTAATTACTGAACAGTTACGTTAACCTGCCTCTCAATAGACGAAATTGGCAGGGCACAGTGGCTCACATCTGTAATCCCAGCACTTTGGGAAGCCGAGGCTGGTGGATCACCAGGTCAGGAGTTCAAGACCATCCTGGCTAACATGGTGAAACCCCGTCTCTACTAAAAATACAAAACTTAGCTGGGTGTGGTGGCACGTGCCTGTAGTTCCAGCTACTTGGGAGGCTGAGGCAGAAGAATCGCTTGAACCCAGGAGACAGGGGTTACAGTGAGCCGAGATCACGCCACTGCACTCTAGCCTGGGTGACAGATCGAGATTCTGTCTCAGGGAAAAAAAAAAGATGAAATTATATTTACATAAATAATTTCTTCCCCAAAGAAGTTAATCTTTATTGAATATGATCTAAGTAAGTAGCTATGTGCTGTTTATATTATTATGAGAAAAATAAGTAAAAATATAGTCAACATTATATTCTTTTTTTTTTGAGACAGAGTCTCACTCTGTCACTCAGGCTAGAGTGCAGTGGCACAATCTCGGCTCACTGCAACCTCACCTCCCTGGGTTCAAGCAATTCTTCTGCCTCAGCCTCCCGAGTAGCCAGGATTACAGGTGCCTGCTACTACGCCCAGCTAATTTTGATATTTTTAGTAGAGACGGGGTTTCACCATCTTGGCCAGGGTGGTCTTGAACTCCTGACCTCATGACCCACCCACCTCGGCTTCCCAAAGTGTTGGGATTACAGGCGTGAGCCACTGTGACCAGCCAACATTATATTCTTTATAGACTTCTCACACAATATGGTCATAGCACAGTGGCATGCTAGTAGATGTTTAATAACCAGCTTCCAGAAAGGTGTAGGAAACCTTGATTTGTAGTTGTTACCCGTTTCCATGGTATAATACTCCCACCATGGCCAATCTGAACCTACCAATGTGACATCACTATATATGCGGCTGGGAAGGGATGCGCACTGTTAACTCTGAAATGCCAGTATAAGGTACCTCAGCACACCAGTGTTTGCCTGTAGTTTTTAAGCACTTCATTACCAAGAGTGAAAAGATCCAGAAAACATTAAGACCAAAAATACATATTGATAGGATTTAAAATACAAAAGTACTGGCCAGGCGTGGTGGCTCACACCTATAATCTCAGCACTTTGGGAGGCCAAGATGGTAAACCACTTGAGGCCAGGAGTTCGAGACCCGCCTGGCCAGTATGGTGAAACCCCATCTCTACTAAAATTACAAAAATTATCCTGGCGTGGTGGCAGGCACCTGTAATCCCAGGTACTCGGGAGGCTGAGGCAGGAGAATTGCTTTGAACCTGGGAGATGGAGGCTGCAGTGAGCCAAGATCACACCACTGCACTCTAGCCTGAGTGACAGAGTTAGACTCCGTCTCATAAATAAAATAAAATAACATAAAAATAGAATGTATAACATCATAAAATCACGATCTATGGTTGGAACTTTTCTTTTTTATTTTTTGGGGGTTTTTTTGGGTTTTGTTTTTGTTTTTTTTTGAGAGAGAGTTTCACTCTTGTTGCCCAGGCTGGAATGCAATGGCGTGATCTTGGCTCACCGCAACCTCCACCTCCTGGGTTCAAGCGATTCTCCTGCTTCAGCCTCCCGAGGGGCTGGGATTACAGGCATGTGCCACCACGCCCAGCTAATTTTTTTTTTTTTTTTTTTTTTCAGTAGAGACAGGATTTCTCCATGTTAGTCAGGCTGGTCTCGAACTCCTGAGCTCAACTGATCCACCCGCCTCAGCCTCCCAAAGTGCTGGGATTACAGGCGTGAGCCACTGCACCTGGCCACTTTACCACCTTCAGAAGTCGTTTTAATTTTTTTAAAACAATCTTTTTTTTTGTTTTGAGACAGAGTTTCGCTCTTGTTGCCCAGGGTGGAGTCCAACGGCGCAATCTCAGCTCACCGCAACCTCCGCCTCCCAGGGCCAAGGAATTCTCCTGCCTCAGCCTCCCGAGCAGCTGGGACTACAGGGGCGCACCATCACGCCAGCTAATTTTTATATTTTTAGTAGCACAGCGTTTCACCATGTTGGCCAGGATGGTCTCGATCTCCTGACCTTGTGATCTGCCCACCTCGGCCTCCCAAAGTGTTGGGATTACAGGCGTGAGCCACCGCACCTGGCCTAAAACAATCTTTTTAAGGTTTCCTATTGAAAAACATAGCACACATGTAGAAAATGCATAATCACAAGCATACAGCTCTGTGAATTATTACAAAGCAAACACCAAAGGACCCACTGCCCAGTTGTAAGGGGCAAGATATTGCTGGCACAACACAAGCCCTCCAAGCGCCCTTTTCCAACTACATCTTCCCTATTGCCCAAGAGGTAACCACAATTATGGTGTTTACGGCAATCATTTCATTGCCGGGCTTTAGTCTTATGCTTCTATATGCATACCTATTCACCAGTTTTGCAAATGTATAAAAATGCAATCCTACAGTATACACTATTTGAGGTTTATCTTTTATACTTCACTCATACTTTGTGAGATTTAAATATAATGGTCTAGGTCAGGCACGGTAGCTCACTCCTGTAATCTCAGCACTTTGGGAGGCCAAGGCAGACAGATCACCTGAGGTCAGAAGTTTAAGAACAGCCTGGCCAACATGGTGAAACCCTGTCTCTACTAAAAATACAAAAATTAGCCAGGCGTGGTGGTCGATGCCTGTAATCCCAGCTCCTCCATAGGCTGAGGCAGGGTGAATCCTTGCAGTGAGCTGAGATCGCACCACTGCACTACAGCCTGGGTGACAGAGTGAGACTCTGTCTCTAAATAAATAAACAAACAAACGGCCTATGTAGCTGAAGCTCATTGATTTTCATTACTACTCAGTATTTTTTCTTATAAATATTTATGTATTTATAAACTGATAACCACTGATGGTCATGTGGCTTTTTCTAATTATTGGCTACTGCAAATAATGCTATTAATATTCTTATACAGATATTCTAGTGCATATATGCACATGGGTCTCCACAATATCCATGCATACACAGATACCTCTAAGAATGTAATTACTGACACATAGGATACATGTAGTTCAAATTTAATAGATATTGCCAACTGTTGCCAAAGTGGTTGTACCAATATGCACTCCCAAGTGCAACATATGAGAGTTCCCATTCCTCCACATCTCCATCATCACCTAATACTGTCCATCATTTAACTTTTAGTCTTTCTGGTAGGTGTACAGTGGTACTCAACTGTGAATTTTGTTTGTATTTTCCGAAAAACTGAAGAAAGAAACCTCCTCATACATATGTTTACTGATCTTACTGATACTCTTTTTTTTTTTTTTCTTTTTTTGAGACAAAGTTTCTCTTTTGTTCCCTAGGCTGGAGGGCAATGGTATGATCTCAGCTCACTGCAACCTCCACCTCCTGGGTTCAAGCAATTCTCCTGCCTCAGCCTCCATACTGGCTGGAATTACAGGTGCCTGCCACCATGCCCAGCTAATTTTTTGCATTTTCAGTAGAGACAGGGTTTCACTGTTGGCCAGGCTGGTCTTGAACTCCTGACCTCAGGTGATCCACCCGCCTCAGCCTCCCAAAGTGCTGAGATTACAGGCATGAGCCACAGTGCCCAGCTCACTGATACTCTCTTTTATAAAGTACTTATTCAAGTCTCTTTACCATTTTACTATTTCATTGTTGGGTTTTTTCTTATTAATGTATAGGAGTCTTTTATATGTTATTTTATATATCCAAGGAGAATACTCTTGGATGTGTATGTGTGTATGTAGGTATATACACACAGAGAGAGAGAGAGAGAGAGAGAGAGACAGACAGACAGACAGACAGAGAGAAAGCATGCGTACACAAGAGCATGTAAATATCTTCTCTTATCCTGTAACTTGCCCTCCAATCTTTTTTTCAAGAGACAAAGTCTGGCTCTGTCACCCACGCTGGAGTACAATGGCATGAGGTTAACTCACTGTAACCTCAAACTCCTGTGCTCATACGATCCTCTCACCTCAGTTTCCCTGAGTAGCTGGGACTACAGGTGTGCAACCACCACACCTGGCTAATTTTTTAATTTTTTGTAGAGACAGCGTTTTGCTATGTTGCCCAGGCTTGTATGGGCTTTTATGTTATCTTTTGATAAACACCAATTCTTAATTTTAATGTAATCCAACTTTTCACATTTGCCTTTATAGGTACTGCTATAATCTTCAGTTCAAAAAAATATTTCCCTACTCAAGGACACAAAAATGGTCTACTTTATATTCTAAGAGTGTTAAAGTTTTGTCTTTCACATTTAGATATAAATGTACCTATAACTGTGAAACTCAAGTCAAGCTTCATCAGATAAAGAAACTTGGGGTCAGGAGATGAGTAACTTGGCCAATGCTATACAGCTTATAAGTGAGAGTTATTAGCTCAAAAAAAACAAAATCACTTCACAGTGAGCTGTCAATTTTACCTTAATTTTCATCAGCAATATAAGGATACTACATATTTTATATCCTCCAAGGTATGTTTGTTTAAAATGAGAATACTGTCCAGGCACGGTGGCTCAGGCATGTAATCCCAACACTTCGGGAGGCCAAGTCGGGAGGAAGACTTAAGCTCAGGAGTTCGCAACAAGCCTGGGCAAAATGGCAAAAGCTCATCTCTACAAAAAAATACAAAAATTAGCCAGGT